AAGGGGACTTTTCCCTGGCATGTGGATGGCACCCAGAAGGATGTGCATGTGGTCCTTGGATGGTCTTTTCTCAGAGGTTATTCATAGACAGAGAAAAATATTCTCTTCTTACAAACCCACTGATCCTAATGATTTCAGGGTCAGCCACTATGTCCTCATTTAACCTTAATTACCTTCTCATGGGCTATGACAGCCATGTTGGAGGCTGTGTGCACGTATGAATTTAGAGGAGACAGTTCAGTCCATGGCAGGTGATTGGGGTGTAGGGGAGAACAAAAATTGACATGATAGTGTCTATTAACCAAGAAAATAATGGAGGAAGAAAACATGAAGAGTCATATTAGTGATTCATATGGAGCTCTGTAATAGTAACAAGCCTGGTTACCCATCTGGACATGTGGATTGTTCTGTGGATGAAACTGGGTCTTGAGATCCTTTCTTAATGTAACACTTAATGTTTTGTTTTTTGGGTTGTTTTTTTTTTTTGTACCAGAGTTCAAACTCGGGCCCTTGTGTTTGTGCCCTAGCACTTAATGTTTTTAGGTAGTAATTCATTACCTGAAAATGGGGAATCAATTCCAAGTGCCCATGACATTTTTTTTTCATTATCCATCCTTTATGCAGCCAGAGTACCTAGGAGAAGGTATAGTGCCCAAGCCTGGACAGCTTGGGTTTGAATTCTACCTTTTCTACTTACTACCTGGATACCTCTCAATGTATTACCTCTGTGATATTGGTTTCTTTGCCTAAAAAAAAACTAATGATATTTACCTTGATGCATATATTAGCATGTAGGCTGTGCTGTGCTAGTATCGTATTAGCTTATATATCGGTGAAATGATAGGAATGTATTTACCTTAAACATACAGTCCAGAAGTAAGTAGACCAGGGCTGACAGGGGAGCCCTGACATCAGGCTCAACAGAAACTTCCATCTGAGAGCCAAAGGTGCTGCGCTAGTTTTCATTATCTCCCTCTGACAAACACATTTACTTAGAGGCACCGTCCCAGAGTGTTCCATGGAAGTTCTCCTCATGTCCCTTCTACCAGAGAGTTAAGTGTAAGATTGTGTCAGATAGGGAGATTTGGATGAGAAGCGTTGTCTCTTAGCTGTTACTTTATTAGCAGTGGTTACTCTTCCTCCAGTAGTTACTCTAATATTAGAAACAGTTCACCCATTTACACTGAATTGTGAAATGTCATAAAATGTTTACCAAAGCACCTTGCACGTGTCAAGTCTAAGAAAGATGTAGTGACCCATCTTACTTCTCCCCTGGCACCTTACTGCTGGCAAACCATGGTACACAGATCAGCATGGTGAGCAGGCCTTAAAAGCACATAATTCCTCCTCCTGGGCCAGACATACTGAATCACAGCCTGCATTTCAACACGTTGATAAGCTCTGGGCTGAGGTGTTCTCTGTAAATCTTCAAAGGCTCCCGATAGCTCCTAAGTTGTGAGAATTAAATGTAAATCTTTTAAGGCATCTGATAGTTACAAGTTGTAAGAATTGAACGAGATTATATATAATACAGCACATAATTCCTCCTCCTGGGCCAGACATACTGAATCACAGCCTGCATTTCAACACGTTGATAAGCTCTGGGCTGAGGTGTTCTCTGTAAATCTTCAAAGGCTCCCGATAGCTCCTAAGTTGTGAGAATTAAATGTAAATCTTTTAAGGCATCTGATAGTTACAAGTTGTAAGAATTGAACGAGATTATATATAATACACATAAATAAAACATTTCACAAGTTATTGAAACAAAAAAAATTGAGAATCTTTGGCTTTTAGACTTCCCAACTTTGATAACATTTCTTTATATTGTAATACATGTGTAAAAGCATCCTGGTTCTGAGAAATGTGCTTGACTTACCATAAAAAAAATTTTTTTTTTTATGGTACTGGGGATCGAGCTCGGGTCCTTGTGCTTGCAAGCCAGGCCACCGAACTGCTGAGCTAAATCCCCAGCCCTAGCATACAATTTTTTAAGTACAAAGATTTTATTATCATAAATTGAGGGATTTCCGTGTTTTTAATCACCATCGCTATTGTATAGTGTCAAAATATTTCACCATTTTGTGTTCTTAATTGTTTTATTATCCTTTAATTTGTGTAAGGGAATATATAGATGTTGGTATCAAGAGAATGTAGAAATGTGCTAAAAAAGATAGCTAGAAAAATGGAAAAATTTTTATCAATGAAAAAATTGATACATGAATTTCATGGGATCAATTCAGATTCAAGCAGCTGTATGTACTGTGTTACTGTATAAGTTGAAGATTTTTCTATCTGCTAGAATCAGAAACATTTCAGATTTTTTTTTTATTTTGGAATATTTACTGGTTGAACATTTTTAGAGTTTGGAATTTTGGAGCACATTAGATTTTGAATTTTCAGATTAGAGAGATGCTGAATCTGATAGCAAATCTGGAAAGTCACCTCAGAGATTTCTGTTTTCTGATCTGTAAATTGGGAAGGATATTATTGTACCTATCTCACAAGGTTTGAAGGGGCATAAGATCCTAGAAAAATACACAGTACAGACAGAAGTTTGTATTAATATCTAGCGTTATCAGAGAGGGGTATACGTGAGCACATATGTAAGGCAACTTATCATTAAAATGTTTGGCGAACAAGCTTTTGATCTGAGCTGGGGCCCTCATAGCTCTTAGCAGTCATCGTGCCCGGGCTTTTGCTTAGCTTCAAGTGGCAGGAGCCTGGACAGACAGTTGTGCTGGCCACTTAAGTAGCAGGCCCGCCTGGACTCAGGTCTAGCTGATGTGCAGTAGACATGCACAGGTGAAGCCCGGGTTTTAGAAGAAACCCAGTAGCCAAAAAGCTCACAGCGGAAGAGAACTCTGAATTGTGGACCTTTCTGAGTCTTTGGGAGTCGTACCTTGGCTGTCCTGCCTGTGTCTGGAAGGGATGGTCACAGTGGAGAAGATTCTTGCTGCCTGGTTAATGGCAGGCACACTCATGCCCTGTGGGCTAGAGACTGATGAGTTAGAAAAGCACTACTGTGCTTGTTACAGGTCTCATATTTTGTTCTGTCTTCTCCTTTTCATTAGCATCAGGACATGAATGCTGGCTGTTCATACTGGGGGTTAAATGTACATATGTACTTTTCCCTTTGGGGCTTTCAGTTAATTGTGGAGGTAAACAACTTTAAATCAGAGAGAAAGATAGTAACACTAAGTTTTTTTTAGATTTTAAAATCAGTTTTGGTGTGCTGCGCTCACAGTTTAAAAACAAACATACATGTGTATTTAGAAATAAATCTAGCATCTCTAATCCCAGCACTCTGGGAGGCTGAGGCAGGAGGACCACATGTTTGAGCCCAGCCTAGGCAATTTAAGTGACACATGTCTTAAAAAAAATTTTTTAAGGGGGGCAAGAAGGGAAAGAAAAGTAAAAATGATTGAGATGTGCTTTGTATATGTTCCAGTTCCTTCAGATAAATGTAAATATATAGTAATAAAAAGGAAATTTAAAAGGGGATTGAAGGTGTAGCTCAGCACAAGGGCTCTGGGTTCACTTCTCAAGGTAGATAGATAGCATGGAGAGAGAGTATTCTTACATTTATGTCTATATTACATAGGGGAAAGGCTGGAAGTAGGCTATACATCAAAATATTCATGTTGATGAGAATTTAAATTATTTTTATTTATTTTCTGTATCTTTGATGAGCTTGTATGGTTTATGTAACTACAAAAATACTATAATGTATTAAATTTTTCAAGTTTCCAAAGTATTTTCATGCACCCTCTGTCTTGAGATCCTCATATTCACTCTGTGACGTCAGTAATGAACATGAATGGTATGAATGAGAGAAATGGAGAAGACACAGATAATTGAGAAACTTAGAAAGTGAAATGTAGCAAGATTACATGATACAGACAACTTTGGACAGATAGCAAACAGCAAAACTGAAGCCCAGAGTAAAAAAACAAAATCTTAAAAAGGGAGAAAATGACCAGTGCTTGAGTGTGAATGGGAAATGCAGAAATCCCTGAACATTTTTAGGTTCTTGGAGGGTCTTGGATGGCTTTTTGATTCTGTCTGGCTCCCTGCATCAAGGTGTGGTTCCCTTGTACCAGACTCTGACACGGGGAGCACAGAGGCTGCATTTCAGTGGGGGCTGCCAGTCTGAGTGTGATTTGCAATTCCGGCACTCCTGAGCTGTTTAACCTGAAAGTTATTTACACACCGGTGGCCTGCATTTACCTAGCTAGGTAATAAGACGTAAGGATGAAATGAATTAACCCTGTAAAAGTATAAGATCCTGTAAAAGTACATCAGACATAGGGAGGACTCAACAAATATTAACTATTAAAACTAATCATCCTAATTCCTGTGCCACAGGGCTGATGAGGATACTACAAGATTAAGTATAGGAAATAATACAGATGTACATTAAGTAGATAGGTATATATCAGAAAGTGCTGGTGGTTCTAGATGAAAGCATGCTAAAGAATGGTAAAGTTAATGTAAAAATAGGAGAAAGTTTATACTTACATTACTGGTTGGTTCCTTTACCTGTTTAAGTTCATACCAAGCCATCTCTGGTTCTTACAAATGTTTGACGTCTCTGTGATGTACACTTACATGTTCTAATTGTACAGGTGTGGAAGGCAAGTGATTGCTAAGTTACAAATGATTGTTTGGTTATAAAAGACCTTGACCACAGGAGGGGTTTGCTGTTGAGGGTTATCTGAGCTGTGCTAGCGAAATCAGAAGCACATCTTTGGTCAAGGGATGAGTAATGCTCCTTTGGAAATATTGAGTCCAACGTACTTAGAAGATTAGCATTTAGATTATTCAGAGAGATACTAGTTGCTTTAATATCCTATAACTAGTTGCTTTAATATCCTATAACTAGTTGTTATACAGGTAAATTCTCACACAGGTGAATTATTGAAATCCCAAGAGCTTGTCATAAGCATCTCTTATCTTACAAATGTGAAACGTGAAACATTCTCCTTTGTCATTTTTTTCAGACCCCCTGGTTGTGGAATACAAGGCACTGCTGGTACAACTACCCCTATCAGGTAAGAAGTCCTTACCATCTGGGCTTTTGCAACATAGAATATCTTTCTTACATCAAGTCCAGGGTTTCAGGGAGGACCCAGCAAGTTGTGACAGCCACTTGCTTTTTCATCAATGCTGGACATAACCTAGTGGGGACAATAGTTGATGCATTCTTAGTGAAATCCAAAACCAAAGCACAATTGCTTTAGCAGAGAAAATAAACTTGGACAGTACATTTGCTTGAGAATAGGATGCAATCAACTCAACAATTGTGTGATTCCTGTTCGCAACAGCCCACCTGCCTCTGTGTCCTGGGGGAAGGTCCCAGGTCTGATGACAATGCAGGGCTGCCCCGCAGCAAGTGGGAGAGCTCAGAACCAAGTGAGTTTGATTCACATGTAGCTTAGGAGAGCCTTTAAATATATAAGTCAAGCCCCATTTCCTTCAGGGCATATAACTGGGCTTTTGTACCATTACACATGGGTAGAATCACTGAAAATGGGATTAAATCATATCCCCCAAATGGGAAGATTTTAGATCCTTGCCCATAGACATACCTTTGCACCTACCCCTGACTATATATAAACTGAGGCTTTTCTTAAATTTCTAGCTGAGAAAGACCACTTTAGTTGGGATACGATATATAAGAGAAGCAACCAGAATTAGGTATTTTGGTGACAAAATGAAGAAGACATACATTAGAATGAATAATCAATTTATATATATATATATATATTTTTTTTTTTGCAATAGAAAACTATTGTATTTAAGTTTTTAAAAATGATCACAGTTAAAGATGCATTACCACGAATCCTCTCAAAACCCCACTGCCGCAACGCACTTAGCCCATCATGCTGGCCACTTTCTGAAGCAGTTCTGGAAGCCCTCTCTCGTGAGGGTCTTTAGTTGTGCCACCATGGCTGCCTTGACGGTTGAGTTTAGAGTCCTTTGGAGTCGTCTTTTCAGAGGCATTCGGGCTTCCTGGTGAGCACTTAGTGGAAGCGCTGTGCTCTGTATCTTCTCTACTTCGCAGGGAGTCGCACCTGGAGGTAGGGACTGGTGTTGGATACTCCTGGGCAAGTTCAAGGCTGAGGACATGTTGAAATGGAGCTCTGGTTTGCATTTCTATCACTGTTAAGTAGTTTATTCAGATCAGGAAAATGTAAATAATCAACATGACATGGTCAGAGACCGCTGAGTGTTCTGGGGATGTCTGGTAGAGAGCAAAGCAAGGTTGAAACTAATCATTTATTTTGCATAGTTGTAATTCTCAGGCCCAGCTGCTGTTTTGCTCCCATAAATACTTGGAACATGGTCATTTAAGGCTCTCTTTGAGCCTTGTAATGGTAGAGTGAGCAGCACAATCCATATATCTCTAAATTTCTGTTTATGAAGGACATTAAAGGCTTCCAGAAACCTTCATTGTAGGCACGGCAGCTGCTATAAGCCACCATGTTTGCGAGGTGAATTCTGCAGCCTGAAAGATACTGAGACAAAAGCCACGTGAAGTGTAATGCCTGTTGTTCTTCTTATGTATAATGTAGTCCGTATAATTTTAACATTTACAACTGGAGTGGAGAAATTGCTAATTTCTGAGAAAATGAATTGATAAGGCTGTGAACCAAAGTGTGCTGTGGGCCATTTCACAGGCGCCACTGGATTCAGCGTGAAAGTTTGAGGGTCTGGTAGACACAGTCATGTTTAAAAATAGGAAATATCATTAATGTGGAAGGACAGATACCATATGTAAGACGTTAGATGAAGATTTTTGCTGAGAAATTATCATCACTGAATGCTGAATAATTAAGCATAAAGTTGCAAGAATCTAGAACAATTTAGTGGTGTCTTGTGGGAACAGTGATCCTCCTGGACAAATGCCACATATGAATTAAAAAAAAATGACTTTCTTTGTATGTGCAGGGGAGTTAAGCAGCGTGTAATGACTGTGTATGCAATTACAGCCCTTGGCATGTGATCTTGTCCATGTAAATATGTACAATAGATTGCAGTTCAGAGTCAACCACAAGCCTGAGAATCTCTTTCAAAGCTTGAGCATGCTCGTGAAACATATTTCCTGTGCCCTTAGCATATAACTCACAGAAATAACTGAACAAATTTTTAGATTAAAAAAGTAGTGGTCCACACACAGTCCCAGCAAGGACACTGTGCTCCTTTTGTATGAACATGGATATTATATTTGCTACCTGTGTGATAATTTTATCTGTGCATTTTAAGATTAAAATCGTGTCGGGTTGCCCTCAGTTCACCCTCATGCAGCCTGTTGTGAAGAGCGCCAGTTGGGCAGGAGAAGCCCTAATGTTTTGTCATGGGCCTCACTGTCTGAATTAACTAACAGCAATTTCCTGTCCACTATATAATCTAGACCTAGAATGAGGGTACTAATTTTACAGTGTTTTATGAGAATCAAAGAGGTTAAGATGTGAGTAAGCTTTGTCAATTGCAGAGCCATCTGTGAGCGTGCTAATTATGAGATGCCCTCCTGTAAACTGTAGTTTGTGGATATGCTCTAACTTGTCTTCTTAACTCCTCTGGGCATTTTCCCAGGGGTTGATACCTACCGGCAGTCAGAGAATCTCATTTTGACCTTTGCTCTAAGGGTGTTGAAGCCAGGGTTCTGTGTCCTCGATTTCATCACTGCCAGCATCTGCCCCAAATACCTGTGCTTCGTTACTAATGCCTTCCAGTTTTAAAAGGGCAGTCCAGAGAGTGATGCCTTCTCTCCCGGGTGATGCTGAGATCGACAAAAACATTGATACTAGTGTGAGTTCTTAGTACAGGCTGCCATCACGGACTACTGTAAGGAGAAATCACCCCCCACTCATGAGCTCTCCCCTCTCAGGACCTGATTACCTCCCAAAGAACTCACTGCGAATTCCGTCACTTTGGACATTGGGCTTCAACAGACGGATTTCAGTCAGAGCAAAGTAATGTTCACACAGAGCTTATGACTGCTGGTTAGAGTGTCCTACCCCTCACGCACTCTGTTGTAAAAAATCTTAGCGGAGCAGTTGTCTCCCTTAATGCTTGTGCTTAGAGTAGCTAGTGAATTGAGTGCCAGCTTTTCCTTTCCTGATACTGCCGGGGAGGTCAGAACATACTATCAGTCGCATTTGCTGTTTATAAAATGCACATGCACAGAGGTAGGGGCACATTTGTGTGGAGACTCTTGAAGGTTTTTTGTTTATTCTGGTAAAGTAAGACATTTTGTTATAGTGTGATAAAACAATGAAAAACAACTCCACACTATTTTAAAGATATTTTGGTTTTAGAAATCTTTTTTATTAGCACGTATCTGGACACATCGATTCATGCACATAACACATCTCAATTCTTTTTTCACCCCTCCCCACTGCCCGCCTCTCCGTGCCCTTCCCTTTCGCAAGCACATTGATCTTCTTATTTCTTACTATCTTTTACTTCTTTCGTTCTTTATATTTTGAGTTTTCCATATAAGAGAAACAATGTGATATTTAAGCTTATGTGTTATTTCACTTACCATTGTGGTTTCAGTGTGCATCCGTTTTCCTGCAAATGACTCAAGGTTATCCTTCTGTACGGCAGAACAGTACTCCACTGTGTACAAATACCACATTTTCTTTATCCATTCCTCTGCTGTTTTGGCTTTATGGATTTATGTGCAGAATAAATAGTCTTGTTTCTCTGAACTGCTGAGGAAATCAGAGCAGGTAACTTGCCCGTCTTACATATAAGTAAACTTAAGGGCCAGTTTTATGCCTACAAAGCTGTGGAGCAGGGCTTTGATCCCAAATTTCCTGGCTGGGTGCCTAGTCTGCTATGTCTTAGTAGCTTTTGTGTCCCTCTGATCTTTTAATAAATAATTCAGAGTAATTCTTTTTATATTTGCGAGGTACTGAACATTTCCTAATAACAAGAAGACTTTCTAATTAGTGCAGAACTTGAAACTGCCTCCGTGACCCATACAGTGCCCCAGTTTCTGTTACCCACCTTCCTTGTCCTGGTATTTCCAGCAGTTGTCCGGGGTTATAATTACTGTGTATACAAGAGAAATCTTTTCAGGTTGGCTAAGATGTTTTGCAGATTCTCAAAGAACCATAAATGTTAACTGTTAAACTGAATAATGAATTGGATCCCAAATGTTCACGCCGATTAATGCTTTGTGGGTTTGAAATGAGATGAAAAGAATGTCATCAAGCTGTGTATTTGAGCCACCTTTGAAAGCTCCATTATCTACACAGAGAATGGGGCAGGACTACATTTGTACAGCAGAATATTGTGTTTCTTTTAAGCACTGAGTTTGAGATGTTTGGTATATAAATTGGGTTCTTTATTAACTATTAATCATTCTTTTTTATTTCTTATATCCTCAGCCTCTCACAACTGACCTTCACTACTATTACATGCTGGAGCTATCGTTTTATTGGTCCTTAATGTTTTCCCAGTTCACTGATATCAAGAGGAAGGTAAGAGTGGTTATGTCATAAAGTGCTTGCAAGCATGTTGTTGATGGGCCTTGGCAGGTGGGTGTGGTCTCCAAGACAGTCACCTCTGACTTTCTGGCTGCACTAGCTTAGCACTGCTTTTCTTATTACATAAAATGCTCTATGTTTGTGCCAGTATTATTTTGTTTATACTGTCCCTTTACTCTTCCCAGACGACCCAGTGTTCTTTTCTTCATGCGAAAATATAGCAGTGAATCCCAGTGGTAGTAATTTGCTCTCAGTCTGATTTCCAAGTCCCTCCATTGTCCAGATTAAATAAGAAAAAAAAAATTATTTGTAGTTCCTGGGAGAGAGAAAAGTCTCAGTGTTTCATCCCTGTAGAGTGAATTTCCCAATTAAAGGGTTGTCTGCTGTCAAAATATATCTCAGAAATGTAACAGTCCTAAGCAAACTGTGTTCTTGCTTCCTCCACTGTAATTGCTTTTGCTGGGAGTATTCATGACCTCCTGAGTGCTAAATCTCCTCATTCTGGCTTCCATCCTGCCAGCCTTTGGGCAGAATCAGTACTTTTGGCTATTTATTGGTTGGTTTCACTATGATTCCATTTTCTCAAGATTCTCACCTATTTGAACCAATCCTGCAAGGTTGTCTTACTATCCTCCGTCTTAATGCCTTCTGCTGTGTGTATTTCAGTCCACCAAGGTTCTAGAAGACCCTGTACTATACGTCTCTCTGAATTTCATCCTCGTAATCACTCCAGTTCCAGTTAGATTATTTTTTACTTATCCTCGTTTTGTGAATGGAGAAATAGCCCAACATGCCGAGTGTTGCCAGGTGAAGGCATGATCTCCTAGTCTGATTCTTTGTCTGTAACCCTTCTAACCAACACTCATGAAAGGTAGGAAGTTTTTCTTTAAATTCTTCTTGGCCTTGTTCCTACTCCTTTTCTCCTCATCCTGCCTCCTTAATATTGCTAGCATGCTTAAAATGAGTCCTCTGCATTTACCCAGTCTGATAAAATAGCCTCCTAAATGGTCCTTGTAACAGCTGTTCTTGTCTTCCTGCCCCCTAAGTTAAGTTGCTAAAACCTTCAAGACCAAGCCCAAACTACTTCAGTGTTGTAAACAGCATGACAAACCCACCTTTTCCACTCTGTTGTCCACTTCTATCACACACATGAACTTGAGCTGCAAATATCTTCTCACCATTGTTCATTATTATTCCTGTATATTTCATTCATATTCCTGTATATCTTTATTGTTTCCAAAACCGTCTCTGACTAGAATATACCCTATTTTCCCCTTGTCACTTAAGTCCTTCAAAAGAAACCTCTACGATGCCTTCTTTTGGTCTCGCAGTGTTTTTTACTACTCTTCCTGTATTTAGTGTGTGAGTTCCCCACATTTACCATATTATATGCTAACAGGGTGGTGACCTGCCTCTCCCTTTTCACTAGACATAGAGAGTCTGGGTCCATTTGGCCCGCTGTCACAAAAGCCATAGACCGGGTAGCTCATAAACAACAGAAATCTGTTTTTCCCAGTTCTGGAAAGGAAGAAGTCCAAGATGAAGGCACCAACAGGTTCTGTGCGTGGTTGAGAGCCCACTTTTTCATAGATGGCACCTTCTCGTGCCCTGCAATGGTGGAAGGGACAAGGCAGCTCTCTGGTCTCCTTCCAAAAGCCCTGCCTCCTAATACTACTGTTTTGGGCGTTAGAATTTCAGTGTACAAATTGAAGGAAACACAGTCAATAGAAAGTAGGATACATTTATCTTGATGGCAATATCAGTAAGTGTAAGGTAAAGGAGTAAATGGATCGGTTCATTTGCAAACAGGATCGTACATTATGATGAGCCCAATCCTGTATCATCATTGGGTAGACCAATGATCTGCAAAATTACAAATGCAAGTGGCAGCTGAAAAGCATTTAGAAGTCTGTGGTCTAGAACCTAAGTTCCCCTTTCTCTTCCACCAGCCAACAGCAGTGGCCTATTTGGCTAAGAAAAAGATGTTTTTCCTGAGTTTTAATGGCTGCAAGGCCTAAATATGGTTCTATCATCTGATTGTCAGAAATGGATAGTCCCTGTCAAGACTACCTGGCAGATGACTCATCATCGATGCCCACAGTTTGTGGTTCCCTTACTCTGCCCCCAACACTCTGGGCCACCTCCTAGGAACATTTAAAGATCCTTCCTGATGATAATGCAGAACAATCTCCTCCTCTGTTGGATATGAAGAGCCATCTTCATTTGTGTCAGAACTTAGACTGAATATCTCCTTTGTGCCAGGTACCACAGTAGGGCTCATTTTGCATTTTCTTTTCTTTTTGAGTAGCCCTTCCATCCTGGTAGCCACACCATATATTTGCATAACGAAGAAAGAGGTAGCACATTCTTCCTTTTTTTTTTTTTTTTTTTCAGCTTGAGAAAATTGACCCACAGTGGTTTTATGTATAAAGTTTTTCAAGGTCATGGGCTGTGGGCATGAATTAGAGCCCAAGTCTACCAAGGAAAGTCCTGTGACTCACTCTCAAATTAGACACGTATGCTGCTCTGGCCTTGCCCTGCCATGCACTTGATGGTAGAGGTGGTAACCCTTTTATAGCTCTCTGCCTTTTTATTGGTTCCTTTTTGGCTTAGTGAGAATTGCGGTGCTGTCAGAGTCATGGGCATTACCTGTAGTTGTCCTTGACTTCCAGAAGCCTTGTCGTATTGAGACACTGCTACGCCAGAAGTCAGTGAGGCTCCCCCACCTGCTTGTGCTGTCGGCCCCCTGTTTATGTACCCTGTGAGCCAGCAGAGCTCAGGGAGTTGTCAGTAGTTTAAGTTCAATGACTATTATCTCAGTCATTTTCCTGGGTGCACTAGTTGTTAAAGGTTGAAGTAAATAACTTTTATTATTTTTCACCTACTTAGCATCAATGTAGACAGCAAGTAGGAAAAGGACAACTTTACAGTGAGGTTTGTGGAATTGATCCTAGCCTATAAATATTGTTAATATTTAGAAATTATGCACTGTTTTCCAAGTTGACTCCAATAGCTTGTCCTAGATGTCTGGAGCCTCTTTCTTCTTCTGTTGATCAGAGTACTTGCGTATATTCCTGCTACGCCTAGCCCATTCTGGTAGCTTGTATAACATGGGGATTCGGCCGCTACCAGATATGCTTATTAATTAGCAGAGGTTTTAAAAGAGCCTCTCCCTTTGCTGCCATTCCATTTTAGAGAGCTGTAGCTCTTGCTTTTTCTCTTCACACCTTCGTACGTAGTCACTTTCTCATTGCTGAGACACAATACCTAACACCTACAGTTTAAAGGAGGAAAGCTCTGTTTGAGCTCATGGGCTCCTGGCTTTTAGAAGTTTTAGTCCATGGTCAGCTGGCTCCAAGGCAAGAAGGCGTTGTGGAAAGGAAAGCTACTCACATCATGGAGAAGAACGAGGAAGGGAGATGAATCTTTCCACATCGCATCCTCGCTGACCTACCTCGTCTGACCAGACCCCCCACAACATCAAGTCAGCTGTGCGGCCCCTCTGATTCAGTCGCCTTCCGAAAAAGTCCCATCCCTGAGTGCATGAGGCTTTGGAGGAACACTCTCAAGCTAATCCCTACCCTTGCTGCTTGGCTCTGTGGGTCCTTGGTGGCTCTGTCTTCGTTATTATTATTACTATTATATTATATATTATTTATTATCATATTATTAGTGTAGCTTCTTTTTCGGAGCTAGTAACTAAACCTTGGGAAAGCAGTCTGCTTCTTCATCATGGAATACAGGTGTTTGAAGATATCATTGGCAATAGTATGGGAGCCAACTTCTGAAGGCCGTTCATGAGGTTTTTCATGCAGGGTTGTCCAAAGTCTCTTTGGTTCTCCTATTAAATGACACTGAGCTTGAATGGCCATTTTCAAACAGGATCCAGGATTTATAAACATTCAATTTGAATTCATGCCTGAAATTCTTTGAGTCAGCATCTTCAGTGAGCTTTAGAAATCAATTTTGTTGTTGTTGTTGTTTTTTTATGGAATGGCTTCATGGATCTTTTTGAAGTTGCTTTTATATTCACAAGCTCTTCTTTTATTCACCATTTTTAAGACTCAGGATTCAAAAATGAGAAAACGAGAGAACCTTTCATTCCTAGTTTCCCTCTTGGCCATTCTCACAGTTGAGATTTACTTGGTCAGTGAGAGGAAATATTGTTATTCTTTCAGGATGGGAGGAATAACCAAGATATAATAGACTTGTAATTTAAATATTACATGCTACAAAAATATGTAAGCTAAACTTTGAGGTTTCTCCCCCCTTTCTTTAGTCTTCTGTACTCTATTCCTCTCTCTTTCCTCCCATTCTTCTCTGCTTTCTTTTGTTAAAAAATTAAGATATCTTCTTAAAACAATAGGCATATTCTTCTTAGTATTCAACACTGTTTGAAACATCTTCTTTTTTCCATGGCTTGATTTTTGTTAAAATACTGTTCTTCAGCACCTATTTACAATGAGCATTTCTCCTGCACATCTAACTTCTCTAAGGGAGGCTGATAAATATTGCTATGTTGAGATCCTAACAGCTTGCTTATGTCTAAACTTTGTGTGCCTTTTAACTAAGCTGCTTTTTAGCTCAAAGGCCTAGCCCTTCTCCAGTGGGTCCTGCTCATGTTCAGGAAAGCATCCTTGGCTGAGTCCCAGGCCCCGGCTGGCCAAATCAACCTGTTTTCTTGGTCTTTAACCTGCAGAAACACTACATCTTGTCAAAGATTCCTGACAAAGAGAGGTATGATGATCAGGTGTGGCAAAAAACTCGCTGACGGGCTTGTGCCTGGTCTGTGGTAACTTTTGCAGAGAGTAATTGGCATCCAATTACTGTGAGTGTTTTTGCTGCCTTTTGGAGCCCAGGACTTTGCTTTAGGAAACTGCATGTTTCAATTTTCTTAAAAGAATACGTTATGGCATAGGTTTAAATGAAACAATGTACATGAAATTCTCTGGTACCGTGCTTGACAGATAGAGCTTAAAATAGTACCTGGCACA